TAAACCATAACCGCATGCCCATCAATAGGTAAAATAGAAGAAAGACAATTTTATACCAATAAAATAAAGCCATATATGATAATAATAAGAAAATGTATGTTAGACATGCAGAAATATTACACTTTGGAAGCTAAAGGAATAGAAAAAAACATTTTACCACCAGGATTGGAAGACTCCTTAAAAAATATTTTATCACCAGAATTGGAAGCTCCTTAATTCTTATCTCCTCATTGTGCTATTGTCCTGTACTCTTTGTAATTGAAAGTGCATGCTTTGGCATACATGAATGAGAAACTGACAGATTGGGGCTCTTATCTTAGATCCTATAAATCCTAGAACAGTAGTTTTCACCACAAATAGCACACCAGAGATTCCAGTTTTAGCTGCTTTTGTACTTTAAGAATTAAATCTTCTTCTTCCAAAGTCTTTTTTGATGTCAGCTCAGGTGCTAGACTGGTTTGCAGTACTTGGCCTGATTCAGTTTTCTCACCAAATTTCCCCAACTTATTTGAGTTCTCAAGACCCTCCCAAGCCCAGGAGGCAAGCCCTGCATGCTGTAATGGACAAACATCTGACTCGGTTCCTATGGTAGAAATGGGATACTTCAGAGCTGGGGAATCATAATTCATAAAAGATAACAGGTGTCCATTCTCAGAAGCTCAGGTTTGAAGAATTCACAAGAGTTGAGATACAGACTTCCATTAACACTTATACTGTTGATTACTCTTTTACCAATAATGTTATTTTACAGACACCAAGAGCAGGTTTGTCTAAGTCCTAAGGACCTGTACTGCACAAAGAAGATGAAGGCAGCATTTCCAATACGCTGTCTTACACCAGCACCATGAAACCACCTCTTCAAAGCAAGACACTGTAGTTATTTGACTGTGATGTGCCTACCAGTTTTTCTAATTAACAGGTGTTTTTCTATCTGCCAACCCACCATGACACCACCATGAGCTTCTCTTTCTCAGAAGCATTTGTTTTCTGAAACAGTTGCATCTGGTCTCTGCTTTCCAAAAACATTGCAAGCATGTACTGTAAAGGTACCATGGATTTTTCCCGTGTCCCACTAAATGTTGAACTAGGAAAGCCCACAAGAGCAGTGGATTAAAGCAAAATAAATTCAATGCAGTTCCTTCAGTTCCTGTTGGCTTCCTTCATACAAAGTACCAATCATCAAATGATCAAGAAAATACATATTTACCTACTATATTTGCTTGTTTTCACAGTATTTTAACTCATGTATTTTTAATAAAACCTTCCAACTGACAAAAAAAATTGCATCTTAATCTGCTCCTTCTCCTATTTGTTCAAGGCACCATTTTTTATTTCTCAGTTGCTGGATCTTAAATTTCTCTTGCATCAGCCCAAATTATTTGTATCCATTTGTATTACCCACTCTTGAAGCATTTCTCTGACACTTCCTGGTTACAGAGTTAATAAAGACAGGGTTGGTTTCTAGTTCTTGTAAAGCTGAGTATGTGTGTGTATATATATATGCATATGTGTGTACTCTACATAACTGTGTCAACATAGCAGATACTTGCACCAACATATTTAAATTTTAATGCAATTGGATTTTCATTTGCCTTTTAAAAGCCTGTTTATACAAACTAAACAACTCAATCCAATCAATGCTGCACTCAGACTGCTGCACTCAAAGAAAACCCCAACAAAACCAAAACCATAATCATTCTATTAGAAGACTTCTGAAGTCCCCAGGTTGGCTTCTATAAATAAAACATATGTGTTCTAGAATTCCTAACACATCCAGGGGTCCTCACTCTTTCAGCAGAAAGAGTGGAGAAATTAGGAGAACTTATTGCCTTCATCTGACATTACTTCCTTCCTTCTTTTAACTGAAGGCTAACCTCAGAGATTAAAAGTATTTTCTGATTCTTAAAGGCATTTACACAAGCAGTTCTACATTGCTGTATGGCCAGCACATCTGACTTTATCCAATCCAATTGAAACCAGTGTGCTTCCACTGCAATCAGCAATTTCCTATTTTCTGGTTTTATCCCAAAAGGTGACCAAGCGATAACAATGATTTCTGCAAACAGTTGCTGTCTGACTGCTAGAGTTAAAATGCAAATAAATATCCTATTGCACTCCAGAGAAAACATTCTAAATTAACAAAGCAAATAATCTAAAGTTCCTAACAAGCAATTAGGCAGAAACAATGATATCAGAAAGATCAGTCTCTTTGTAATACACTCTTTTCACTCACATGAGAACAGTAATTATGGTATGTGGAAATGCAAAACTAGAGTACAACCTCTACCCACACAGTTTTACTATACAAAATTAATCTAATACATTTTCCTAATGTTGTACAGGCAGCTAATTAATTGTAGACCATGTAACCATCACAAGATTTAAAAAATGCTTTTATGCAGGTAGTAAACACTTCTTGCTCAGAATATTATTCTACTCAGTAAACAGTGTTTGAACTTAACTGCAGGAAAATTAATTTCTCTAACAAAGAGACCAGTGACCTCACTCAATAAAAAGTTCACTGTGCCTTTCACAAAAGCTCTCAATTAGGATGAGGAGCACATTGTACAATCAACAGATACAAGGATTGAGAATCCACTCACCTGATGGCAGCTGTGATAAATTACTGAAAGCTTTCCTGCTGAAGCTGAGAAAACATAGGGTATTCATTTTAAAGAGAAAATATTTTCAAGGCAGTATTTTTTTCATTTTTGCCCATGTGCTGTTTTAAATGTAAACCCAAGTAATTTTAATAGGGAATCATTTAAATATATCAAAACACCCGTACAATGAAAAGCAATAAATGAGTGTTTGTGTAAACAGCAAATGTAACAAATGAATACTTTTTTTGCAGAGGAAAACAGACCTGTGTTTAATTAAAAGATAAGATACTGTAGTGTGTGCATATATATAGAAGTCCACTTTTTAAAATATAAAATACATTAATTAAATTATTGTTGTAAAATATTACATATACAGCTTACTAAATATAACATACAATGACACAAATAAAATCTGTAATTATTTTTATAAAGATTATTAATATTTTTCCTGGTCTTATTGCATTTCCCTTCTGCACTAGTTATTAAGATTGCTCTCTATGATACCTTAAAGCCAAAACCAGCAGTCTATTGATATAAAGGCAAAAACTGAAAACAGTGGTGAAAACGAGGGGTAGCAAATGCATGGGGCAGAATGTTTACCTCCAACACCGCAAAATGAAAAATCAAAACAGTAACCACATGGAGAGTTTGATATTCAATGACACCAAGTAGCAATATCACTCAGCTGAGTGAGGTAATTCCAGAAACCAGGAGGCAGCTTTAGAGCTCTGCAGCAGCGTCACACCCAACAGCTGAGAAACCACTGCCTGCTCAAGCAGCACCACCAGGCTGCTGAAGCAGGGCACACCGAGCTCCTGATTTCTGTGTCTGCACAAAGTTTCCCAGGGATTAAGTGGATGTGACTGGCTACTTGGGTGAACTTCAGCCTATTTCATGATTAAAGGAAGGCAGTTTTTTAGAACACTGAACCAAGTCTGGAAATATTAAGTTACAGGGACAAGAGAAAGTCACAGTTGGGAAATCTTAACTGTGTTTTTTCTGTTTTACTACAGATGCTACTATTTAACATTAAGGGCAAAAAATCCCAGAAACCCAAATAAAAGGACTGAAGCAAGTTCAGCTGCCTTGAGATCTTAGAACAAAGCAAAACTAAGAACTTCTCTGAGTTCTAGCACCTTTTCTTTTACACTTACTTTTCATTATTTGCATTACAGCATTAAAGTCTTTACATGCAATTTCTTTACTCATATCTTCCATTAATTTACTAGAGTTTGGTAACAATATCAATACATTTTCTTCTCAGCTCAAAGACAACCTTACCAGCAGGAATTATTGGCATGCTGGGACTAGCCCCATTGAAAGTTGTTTTAGCAAAAGCACCTCGGGAGGGTGTGTTAGAGGTCCTATGGTACTAAGGGCACTGCACGAGGCACACCAACACACACAGAAACAGCAGAGAAATGAGGCACCTGTCTACTCAGGTGTTTTAACAAAAAGGGACAAGTTAGCAATGAAAATCTCTGCTCTTGTGGAATATCCGACTAGACTTAAATGCCTATGTTTATGAGGTAATTACCAAGTCCAAAGTGAGACTTTTATACAACTTTATAAGTATGAAAGAAAGAAAACTGAAGAAAACTTATACAGCCCCTTCAGAGCATTGCCATTTGTAAGTATAGCATTACCATTTATAAAAGCTCTTTAAGTCCTCCCAAGTTCTGGTGTTGCCTATTGGTCTAGCATTGCATCTTGGTTATGCTGGGAACCTTGGTGTTCCTGCCCCAGATGTCAAAAGGCATCACTAAATCCCTAGGACATATCTGGCAAGCATTCTGGTAAACCTTTGAAGTACTCTAGCTGCTGGAAAACAGAAGATGCATTTCAATTGAAACACACACTTTCTTACTGTTTAAATCATTTAAAAGTACAAAACAGGCTTTCACGTTTTAAAGAAAAGTCTTGTGTAAGTAAAAGAGCTTTTTTTCTGTGTGAAGAAGCTCCTACTACAGCCTAAACCCCTTTGTGTTCCATGTCCTAATTAAAAATCAAATCTTCAGAAATTTCATTTTAAGCAACACTGGGCAGCACTGTAATCTTGTATTTGAAAATGTTCATCTTCCTAATAGTGTTAAACTTCACACTATGCCAGTTTCAACCACAAGATAAGAAATACTCCAGCATGGAATGCACCAATATTGCACCTTATTTGTCAGAAACTGGGTTGCACATTATAAAATTAAAATTGGAAGAAGCTAAGTAGTAGAGAACTGGTCCAGACCTTGGCTTCTTGATTCATCTAAAGGATGTCATGAAGAGTGTATAGTTTCATGGTCCCATAATTTGTTTCCAAAATAGCAAAAAAGGAGTGCTAGACAAGTGTTTCAGTAATCTTACCTCTGTCTTGATAATAGCAAGATAAAATAATAACCACAAACACAAAATAGTCCATATTTTATTGCAGTAAAGAAATCTTAGAAGAAACAGGATTCATATACAGTGTCTGGCCATAAACATCTGCATTTTTATTCAGAGCAAGAAAATAACATGTTACAAAAAATGACTTTTTGAAAAAAAACCCCCTTATTTCAAATGCTGTCTCTCTTGAAAATTCATTTATTTTCATGCTTACATTTTCTACAAAGAGCAAAGTAATCAAAATGAACTGAATCTGGAGGATAATGAAGCACACCTGCAGAATTAGACAGCAGTTAAGGATGACAGTCTCAATTGATGTTTTATACATAGTTGCATCAATACTGCCAAGAACCGCTTATCTTCTTTGTAGAATGTAGCACTATAATCCTGTAAAACTCCCACAAAGGGCACTCTATGCTGACTTGCATAACCACCCTTTCAACTTTTTTGCAAATCATCTTCTTATTGCAGTGTCTTGGGTACAGATGGTTGTTTAAAGTTGAGCTGTTGCCTGGATGTTTCCCAGATCACACATATAACCACCATATATATACTACCTCTGTTGATACATCTCTGATTTCTTGTCTAAGATGAGCATACTTAATTAACATCAGTGGACTCGATCCTGTAAGATAGCAACAATCTACATCCTGTGTAAGTTTACTGACCCTGTAAAAGGCTGAGGGAACTCACATGATCCACTTTTCAGTTACAGATTTTCACATCAAATGGCACCCGTCTCTTGTCACACAGGTGCTAACTGCCTTGAACCCAGTTTTGCCCCCTGAAGTTCCTAAGCCACTTAACCAATTTTGATGTAAGATACAAAAAGTTTTGAACAAATCCAAACTAAATCACATCCATTCACTTTTAACAATATTTTCATTGAAACTTTTCATTGAAACCAAAACTTTTAAAATTTATTTTTTGGTCAGAGACTATTAATAAATATTCTCAAAAACACTGTGTTGATATGCCACCTAGGACAGCAGATCTAATCTAAGACCAAAATCTGAGAATTTGAGAAATGGGAGGATGGGTCAATGCTGTTCCATAGGGGAAAAGTCTACCCGGTGTGACGGTGAATTAAAAAAGAAATTTATCTTAGAACTGTGAAATTACATTAATTTATTTGTACACACTAACAACACTTATTTCAGTATGTGCCTCCACAGCACAGATAGTCAGAAAAACTTACTTCTGACTTTAAGAAGGATCATTCACATTCATAAGGACTCAGAATTTCCTGCTGGCCTTTTAGTGGCATGCTTTTAGCCAAAAATTCCATAATGATCCAGCTGCTCTTTCCCACTGATGTATAAACAAGTATAACAATTATGTCCATTTGCACTGACATGAATCAACCTGATTCAAGTGGCTCTTCAAAAGGCATTACCATCACCTACCCTTACTGTTATTAAAATTAAAAATGAGATTAACCTTATTTTTCCAGTAGTTCAGTGTAAATTAAAAGAGAAAAAAATCACACCATAAGAAACTGCAGTCTTCTAGAAAATTCTTTATAACCACTCTAAACTAAGATTTTACATCATGGAGAACTAACTAAACAAACTCTTTCTGATTAGATACTGCATTGAAAATTATCATATTCCTTGCAAGAAAACCAAGCACAATTTTCTAATTTAACAAAATTGTCTTGTCCTCTACTTACATGCAAGCACAATATTAAAAATAATTTCATTAATACTTTTAAAACTCTTTCCAGTGAAAGAAAATTTCTGGTTTGAGACACTGCTTCCATGCAAAAATAACTAATCTCTATTATGAAATTAATTCTCTTATCCCCAGAAATCTAGATTGGAATTTCTTCTATTCAGCTCATTCCATATTTGCAGTTTGATTCATTGTCCTAATAAAAAAGCTGGCAAATTCAAATTGTCTGGCAAAGTTGCAATTGATGGGTCCAGTGACTGATAGGTATATACTGGACCTCTGTGGATTGCAAATTATTTATTGCAAGTTGAATTTCATTTTTCTAAGACACAAACAATCTGGAATGCATGACTTAGAATTTGTATATAAAATATTCTGTGTTTTTTTAAACTTCAGATTTGAAGTTACTGAATATCTAATTTAGCCCCTGTGGAGACTGGAGGGAAGAGTCATTTCTTCAATGACTTGCAGTTTTGGACGGGATAAAAAACCCAAAACATTAAAAACTATGATTAGCATGCAGGATGAGAGTCATAGAAATGGAAAAAAAATATTCAACAGCATTAGAAGCGGGAGAGTTTAGCAGCATGTTTGAATTCAGAATTATTCAATGGAGTTCAGGGATCCAATACTTGTGAATACATAGTTGTACACAGCCCCAAATTCAATGAAAATCTATGTTTAACTGTAGGACAGAAGGTAATTAATTTTGTGCAAAGATCATTCTGTTCAGTATGTTTTCATAAATTTAGATGGACCACATTTTATCCATGATTTCTAGAAAGAAGAGTGAGAGGTAATGGTACAAAACAGGATGTATTTTGAAAAAGAAGACAAAATATTCCAGATGTGTATTCAAGATCTACACATCTCCAGAAACCTTCAGTAAAATGTTCTGTCATTAGATGTTACAAGACTATTTGGAAAAAAGTAAATAGCTTTCTTTTTTTTCTGATTTTGACTGATGCAAATGCAAGTACAGGAAAATTGAAATGCTGCTTGGCTTGCATCTATTGCTGAAGATTAAAAAAAAGAACTGTTAAAAGACAAATACTAAGTTGTGTATAGGAAGCTTTAATTAGCAAAGATAAGAAGTGAAAAGTCTATGAAATATTTGTAAGTTAATTCCCTGTCTCAAACTATTTTTGCACACATGTAGCTCCAAGACTACTACAGACCTTTTCAGTCTGGCATTACACAAACACCAAGTGTTGGTCACCTAAGAATTTGCAGCATTTTTTTATTCATCCATCTGAGAATAAATGAATAATTTTTGTAAGAGAAAAAGCACTATCATAATTTAAGCTTCATCATAAATGAGTATGGAAACACTTTTTATATACTAAACACTTGTGGACTAATAAACAACATTATTATACAACTGCTTTCTGTTCCTATCTTGCAGAATTACTGAAGTGTAAGAACCACAGGCAAGGAGATGCAAAAAAGCATGTTGGTTTAGGCTTCTGATTCAGAATTCCTTCATGTAAGGAAACGTCTTCCTTACAATTCCAATGAAGTGTCATGAGAATCAGGTTGTCAGCTTAAATAAGGAAAGATACATTTAATTTACATATATGCACTTATTCCCATACTTCAAATTAAACAGGATAACGGCATAAGAAGTCTGATTAATTTCTTTTTCTTATACACAGTCTTATCTTGAATGCGAACTCTGTTTCATTGGACCTTCCTGCTTTGAACAGAAATTGTCCCAATATGCAGAATCCTCAGGTGTGACAGGAATACCAGATGCAACTAAATCTTCAAAAGTCAATAATGTAAATTGTGGTTGGTTAGGCTCCACGGAACAGACCTAAAGAAAATACATATTAGCATAACATAAATCAATAAATATCAATTTTCTACCTGTAAAATTCTCTGTCATGTTTAAACTACACGTTGCTTATTGAAGAAGAAGACAGTCTATATTTGAGACTAATGTCACTTCCCCTCATTTAGGCTATGCAGTAACTATTAGAAGCATGTAACAGGCCACACAGAAAAATTGAGCTTTTTGTTGAAAAAAAATGTTCCTGTTAGAAGGAGGCCTAAAAAGGCACAATGCAACAGTACATAAATTTTTACACAGTTCACAAAACTGATGAACAAGGGCTATAGAATGCTGCAAGTATGACAGAATGATTGTTTAAGTCCAGTAAAGACCACCATCAAACAAATTGTACTTCCTTCTTCAGGAGATATTACTTGAAACAACTGTGCAAAGATTTATTCCACTAGGTGTGCCTATTTGTACTCATTTTAATACAAGTAGTCACTGATGTTTTACATGCTTGTCTCAGACTCAAGTGCTACTTAAATATGAAAGTGGACACAATCAACCTGCAATTATCCATATTAAAACCAATTAAATGTGGACTGAGATATTAGAGATGACAGTGTCACAGTCTCCAGTTAGTTTCATCACTCCAAGAAAAAAACAAAATCACATTTCAAAGAAGAAAAATATTTGGTTGGCTTTTTTTTTGAGCACACTACTGTGCAGCCTGCTGTATGCCATCTCCAAATGTAATTGTTTGCAGACAGCAGGGCAGATAGTACAGCTTGCATGAATCAAACATAAATACAGCTGAGTCTTCTAAATGTGCATTTGCTGGAGCAACCTATTCTTATTGTTTAATATTTCATTAAATTCAGTAGGGCTCCTCTGCAGTGGTGTTACTCAGTACATCAGACAAGCTGTCTCATTTTTGATGAGCCTATCAGGCTCTCTCTGTGTGACACTACAGCCTTCTGGTCTATCAGCCACTCCTCCCAGTTTTGCTGTCACCAGCAACCCTGCTGAGGGTTCACTGCACCATCATCCAGCTCATTAATGAAGATGTTACACAGGACTGGACCCAGTACTGATCACTGGTAGCTGCCCTCCAAACAGACTTTGTAGCTCTATCACCTTACCCTGGGCCCAAACGTTAAGCCAGTTTCCAATACACCTCACTGTTTGCATAGCCAGCTCAGTATTTTTCTAGGAGGATCTTAGGAGAGACAGTGCCAGAGACAGAAGGTACTGAAATACAGGTAGACAATTATGCCCTCCTCTAACCTCATCTACCAGGTCAGTCATTTCATGGCAGAAATGTATGAAGTTCATCAAGGATGACTTTGCTTGGCAAAGCTATACTGACTAGTCCTGATGATTTCTTTGTCCTGGCTGTGCCTGGAAATGGTGTTCAGAATAAGATGTTCTGTCACGTCTCCAGCAATCATGGTGAAGCTGTCAGATCTGTAATTACCTGGGTCCTCCTTTTTCCATGTTTTCTTCCAGTCTTCAGGCACTTCTCCCAGTCCCCATGATCAACCAATGACTATTGAGAGGGGCCTTGCAATGCCAGCTGTATCCCATAAATATTACTGACTTACACCCATCCAGTTTGCTCAAGCATTTCCTGACCTAATCCTCTTCCTCCAAGGGTGCATCTTCCTTTCTCCTTCCTCTTTCATCCCTGCAACCTGGGATTCCTGATGTCCAGCCTTGCTAATAAATACTGATGCAAAGGTGGCATTCAGCACCTCCGCCTCTTTCAACATTTGTCTTTTTGAGTAAAACCCTTCCCCTTTGGCTTCTTTGTACTTACAGAAGTGCTTCTTGTTGCTTTGAATATCCCTGGTCAGATTTGGGCTTTAGCTTTTTAAACTTCACGCCTGGATGCTCAGATGTTTCTATTTTCTTCTCATGTTATGCATTATTGCTCTCACCCTCTGTATGCTTCCCTTTCTACGTCCAAGTTTGGCTAGGAGCTCCCTAGCCCCCTTCATCCATGGAGATCTCCTGGCCTTTTTACCTGACTTCATACACAGTGAGATGGAAATCTCTTTTTGAGATGTTCCTTGAATGTTCAGCAGCTTTCTTGGGCTCAGCTTTCCTCTGAGGCTTTATCCCACAGGACCCCTCTTTGCCCTTTGAGGAGGAGAAAGTTTGCTCTCCTCCTGTTATGGGTTGTGAGTCCTCACTACCCTAGGATCCTGAACTGCACCATCTCATGATCTTGGAACCCTGCAGCCACAGACAGATCTGTGACTCATCATGTTTATTCCTCATCCCGAGTGCACTGGTGTACAGGCAGTTCAGAGGCACTCCAGCAAGTTGAGATTCAGGAGAAGATTTGGGGAATTTGTTCATAACTGTGCCTTGTAGACCCTTCCTTGCTTACATCCAAGTGCTGGAGATGACTCAGTCCAATGTCAATTTTGAGGATTTTGTTATCTCTTTCTGTCATGTCAGTGAAGGTAGGTCAGTAAATAGGCAAAAAGCAAAAACTCTCCACTTCACTACTTGAGCAGTAGGCTACTATTAAGAATAAATGTAGAGACAACAAAATGGTTTGTGGTGCTGTAACAACACAGAAGAACTCTTAGCTGTCAATGCAGACTGAGAGCAAAAAGATTGAGCTGCCTCTCACTTTATGTTCTTACACAAGCGACATGGTGTTGAGACCTTTCTGCTCATCTGACATTTTGGAGATGAGGTAAAGCTGCAGGAGTGGTGCCTAAAGCCACGGAAGTGACATTACAGATGCATACCAAATATGAACCAAGCCTCTGAGCTAAGCAGTTGTTAACAGATATAGTCTGAACTTCAGCACATGCTTGTCTGAAGGAAGTGTGTCCTGACTGAATGCATCACAACTCTTGTGAAGTACAGCAAGCAATCGACAGAAGACACCTTATATCCTACACAGGATTTATAAAGAATTTTAAACTCAGCCATCTTTTATTGAGACTAGCATCAGATTAATGTCTAGATCTAGGTTAACAGCACAGATAAGTGTACTGTTTCCTCAAGTATATAGCAATCACTAGCATTTTGATAAGACTCTTGACACTAGATTTTTAATTACAGTACATTGACATAACAATTGGTCTTTCCTGGGAATTGTAGGTATATGCTCTCATTTTGTGAAGAAAGCTGCAAATAGATGCTCTGCAAGCAGGCCATAATGAATTAGTCATGTGATTACAGAGAGGGAACAGACACAAACACTGTCATCCTAAACCAAGTGGGTAACATTTACACACATGTTAAGCTAGAATGAACAACTTTCAGTTGACACATCTAGCAATAAATAGAATAATTTTTATGGTTCTTTTAAAAAGACAGAAGGTAATGTTAATTTCCTCCATGTTCCTGTTAGAAGGAGGCCTAAAAAGGCACAATGCAACAGTACATAATTTTTTACTTAATTTCCTTACTGGGGAGTCACAGAATGCTCCCTTGTTCTGCTTAAAATGACCTTTCTTCATTGAAGTGAGATAATGAAATTTAGGTCATCATAAATTTAGTCAGAGGACAAGTAAGCCTTTGAGACTCTTGATTCAAAGACTTCATCATAACCTTTGATATCATGACTATTTTTTTTATGATACGTTTAAGGTAAGCAGCCATGATGGTGAAGGTCAATACTTAAAAATCCTGGATTCCCGCAGAATACTTGGGTAATTAACTTAAGCATGTCCTGCCAAAAAAAATGCACATAATTTCTTAAAAATGTTTGTCCACTGATTTATCACAGTAAATCTGCAAAGGGAGTTTAATACCTCTTTTTCTCAATCAACCCAAGACTAGTTAAAAGGTCTGCCTCCCTTTGTTATCCATGAACATAGACTTTGTTACCATGACAGATAGTGTGCATTACCACTTTCATGCTTTTATCCATTCCTATACTGATTTTCTTTTTTTTTCTAGTTCCTGGTAGAATCTTTGTATCTAAATAACAGAAAACATCTAACCAATTTTCTCTAGAACACCAGAGAAAAATCTGGCAATCTGTCACACTCTCATTTGCTGACTGTCAGGCTGTTTTGGCTGCAACTTGCCAATCTGCCTGTCCCTTAAATTTCCTTTTATTGCTATTTTAATGACTGAGGTATTTTTAAAATTACACAGAAAATCATGAAAAGCTTCTAAGTTGCTTTTCTCTTTCTCTCTATAGACACACCACATGGAATGAAGAGTAACACTGCTGTTCTTCCCATCTGTTGGTTGTTGCTGCTTCTCTCAAGGGTTATCTTGTCATAATGGTGTTTGAGTGATGGATCTGCTCTGGGATACAAGCACTGACAGTTGCCCACTAAAATCAACTTGGTGAGGTGTCACACAAGTTTAGCAGTCCACACTGGTTCACTGTTTCCATTTCTCTCTGTGAAAACAATCTTTCCCACATGAGTACTAGAAGGCTGTGACAAAAATCACTTAATCTGCTCTTGAATGAACACATAGAATACATGTACTACAGACTTGACATTATCTGTTGCTGTCCTATGAATCTATTTCTCCTTCACAGTCTTCTCCTGAAATTGGCACAAGAGAACTAGAGGAAACATTTAGTAGTACTGCATGGTTCTGGTTAATGCTGTGCCGAAGATAAGCCTTCTTCTTGGCCTCATATATGAGATGACACACTTTCAGCTACAGCATAAGTTTATATTCAAGTGATCACCAAGAGATGAAATTGCTTCACAATTCCTTACATCAGAATCCTTCTGTACAAATCCCTCCTGTTTTCCAAGTGCCACTGCAACATGATGATTATCATCCAAGCGGGTTTCCTAGTAAAGATGAAAAATGGCAATGTAAATGCATTTTCTTTACTCTGTTTCCAGAGTATAGACTATGTAAGTGTTTAGAGTATGGTTCAGAACAATAGCACAAGATAATATAAAATACTTTAAAATAATGACATTCAAAAAGCAATAGTATTTTAGCAGTTTTGCTGAAGAGCTCAATGATGCAGACACATTAAAATGTTCACAGGGCTGAGGACAGATTACTATAGGTTACCACCACCTTATCCATTTGGAGATATTTGTGTTGAAGCTTGTGACCTGAGCATTCCTTTATCAGTCCCTTCTAAGCCTCAAACCACATAACCCATCTTAGTTATCCCTTTCCAGTGAGATGAACTGTGAACCTCAAGAAGGTATTCTGAAAAAGAGTGATGTCAGTGTAAATTTAAAACATTGACTCTCCCTCTTGGTTTCAGGCAGCATGTAAGTGCACAACTTTGAATTCCTGACATAGTCTGAGTAATGCTATGTGTAAATACAAATCAACATTTTTAGGTGCATAACTATATATTTAGTAATACAGTTTTTTACCGATTTAATAGTTTGGTTTGAAAGTGTTTTCTTCCAGAAGGGCTAAAAATTTATCCTAAACAATTTCAAGAAAAAGAATCCCGAAGATTTTTACTGTTTCTGAATAATGCTTATTCTATAGCCAAGTCATAAATCCATTGACTTTTAAAAAGGGGATGAAATAAAAATTTCTCTGCTTATTTATTTTAAAGTTTTAATGTAATTCCTGCACTTTCTAATCCAGAACTCAAGAATAACAAGAATTTTACCTAGGAAGATGATCCAATATTACCATTAATCCGCAATTTAGAAGTCATTCAGATATTCTCCTGGAACTTAAGACTGAATCTCCAATTTTGGCTTCCTTGGGAAATAGTCTAACTGCACTATATTATAATATAAACAAAGCACCATGATTTCCTCCTGTTTCCTCTCACAGGTTGTTGGTTGCCTCATTTTTTACCATTTAATCTAAGGAGAATGTCTTTCAGAACAATGGTTTCAGTGTACATCAGGCTTTTCAAAGGCTTTAGTTGCCAGGATACCATTTCTGTGATTCCAAAACAGCCCTGTGCATATATATATATAAATAAATACATAATATATATATATTATATATATAAGCCTATATATATATGTATTAGCCTATATATATATATATATATATATATATATAAGCCAATATATACATATATAAGCCAAACTGTTCAGATCAAATCTACTCAGCCCAGTTCAGCCAAGGTAGGAGCTGCTCCAGGCATGTGTAGCACCAGGACAACTGTAAAGTTGGGGAATGCTTCTAACAAACATGTATGCCTCAGCTGAGAGGTGCTGGTGAGGAAATAGAACTGTGCCTTTAATCTCTTCAGCACCAAAACTGTGCCTATTTGACAGCGTTAGCAGTGAAGTTTAGAACCCTCACCTACTTAAAAAAAAAGCCCATCAAACTCACATTGTCATACCTTTTTGTGGAGTGCTAGTAAGAAATATTTAGGTTTTGTCTAGATTAAGAAAATATTTAATATAAGAAAAATGAATAAACCTACAGCATAAGAGTACTTTACACATGACTGCAAGAATGTACTTCCTATGGGGTATTTTACTGGGTTTTCCACTCCTTCACTAGGATACCAAACTGAAAGTAAGTCAAGCATAAAGAATGCTATCTCAGAGGTAACCACTTGTACTCAGTGTGAACATTTCCTTAACTTCCTCAGAAATAAGAAAGCCTATGAATATTAAATGTTTGATCAGGTGTTGCTAAACCATTTCTATAGTTCTGGGGTGGCAGTGTTTTGTATTCTTCTAGATGGAAAAATTAGTATATCCCAGTTTAATCACTTCATTTCCCACCCTTCTTTCATTTTTTTGCATGCTCAAGAGGTCAAAGACAGATCAGAACAGAGGACACAGTACAGCATATTCAGCAGTGGCTTACACCTGTCATCAGAAATCTGCAAACAGCTTTAAGCACAGAATTTTCTTTTTGTGAGGTCAAATTATATTCCTTCTTGTTTGTTCAACTAAAAACATACTATAGACACTGTTTCACATATTGTTAGCAAAATGTTTTTTTCATTTCAAAGCTGCATTTAACAGGCAGTGATTGTTTAGATAGATCTTCCCTGCAGAGACCCTGCCCAATGAACAGTGAATGAAAAAGGTTCCATTTCATTTATTTCATATATCCTCTGTGGTCACAAGAGACTTTTCAGCATCTTACAATAAAACATAAGCTATGCCCTTCATCTATCTTTGCTGTTTCACAACAATGCAAATCCAAATGAAATACAGAAAGAAACATCTTTCCTGGCCTGTACTAGTGGCCAGCAAAAACCTTAAGCAATGGAATTAATGAAACATACTGAAACTATAAAAGATATCCCTGGATATATTGCTACACCAGCTTATATAATTAGTATCTTAAATGGAAATAGATGATTAACAAAGAGAGGACAATCCTACAGAATTCCTTCAGGGTAGAGAGTTTGTTTTGTTAAGATTCCTCTCTATAAACCAGAAGACAAATAATGGACTAAAATTTGTTTTGGTCTGCACAGAACAAAAGTGTTGCTAGAACACATGGAGATTTACAATGATCTCATTCCAAAGACTCGGCAGAATGATGTGTCTGGAATTCAAATAATTATGAATTCAGTCAACAGCAGACTGCTTATGATGAAACTGCACCTTTCCAGCCAGCAGAACTGATTGATGAGTGAATCCAGTTGGATTAGCTAGTCTTAGAAATGTCTAGAAAGTCTTAGAAATTTATTCCTGACAATGCAACAGGATTAACTTCCCTTACTGAGAGTGAAAGATGCCAACTACAGTTGCACACAGTAATTACTAAATATGTTTCAAATTGACCCAGATAATCACTCTTTAAAATTCATGTCTGGAAATAATTTATTTGCATATAAAAAAATCAAGCAAATATTTGTTGTGAAAAAATGCAAAAAGTTATCTGTGCAACAGCAGTCCTGTCAGGTGATTCTTAATCCCAGAGCAAGGTTTAAGATAAATCATGTGTTTCCTGTATAAAACAATTGTATCCAAAGTTGAGGTGGGTACAAAGACAAATGTGTTATGCCTCATTTAAGATTCTTCTTTAACATTGATTCCAGTAAGTACTATCCAGTTATTCTTCCTGATCAATTGTACACAACTGGGACTAATAAGAAAAGGGTCACAAATATATTAATCATTTTGCAAATCACTAACTAGGAATTTATTTCTCATAATCTCATAGAATGGCTTATATTGGAAGGGACCTCAAAAATCATCTCAGGGACACCTTCCACTAGACCAGGTTGCCTAGGGCCCATCCAATCTAGCCTTACACACTTCCAGGGATGGGACATCCACAACTTCTTTGGGAAACCTTTTCCTGAGCCAATATAGTTCCAGTGCCAATATATTTTTCCATATTTAAGATCTGCAACAAATCTGTCTATCTTATAAACTTACTTTGATCTCTTTAAATGATAGAACTTGTCATAACTGTTTTCAATCAACTTCTTTAATTTTTACTAGAATTAACTATTATTTCATTCTTGTCATAGTAGTAGGCAGCTCATACCACACAGCCTCCTCACTGGCAGGGCACTATGAGAAACTAGAGTCCTTGACTTTGTTTCAATGTGTTAGGAGCACTATTCTCATCCTGAATTCAAAACACAGCACTATGCCTGCTACTAAGAAGAAAATTAACTGTATCAGAGATGAAACTAGGACAATTTTACAAGTTTATGTTCTTCAAAGCAAGTAAATGGAGCATATAGAATTACTCATAATAATAATCATCATCACCATCATCATAATGACTCCATCCTAAATCAACACCCTGACAAAATACTGTTATCACTCTTTACTGGGCTAACTGTCCTTTAGTTATTGCCAAACAAAGTCACCTTTTTAAAATGAGGAAAGCATGTACTGTCTACATGAATAAAGCACAGTCAACATATATAGCAGACATACCTTAAAATTAAATTGATGCTTTTAAACAAAGCTTTTTTCCTCCAACTCCTTCCAAAACAGCTGAAGGGAATCTGTGTAGCAATCTCTAGAGTAATATACAAATAATAAACAAGACCCTAAAGCTAAATCTTTCCATCAAGACCAAACTTGTTTCTGATCAACTGCCTTCCATTCAAGCCAAAAAATGTGGGGTGTGAATGAGGGCAAAGATACTTCAAGCAAAAATAAATCCTTGGTAGAAGGACCACACACAGTCAACTACAAAACAAAGTAGTTAATTTGGATTTACAATTAAATAGGAGAAACCTTTTTGCACTGTTCACAGAAAATTCTATCTCCAATTTGAATTGGCTTTGTTCTGACTGTGAACAGTTACAGGGTGTCTAAATAGTGCCAACTTTGATTTGTTCTGATTCATTAGTATTTCTCTTGACCTTTTAGTCATGACAAGTATAAGGTGGAGGATCTTTTCTTTATCTTTATGAATTTAAAGTTATCTTTTTCATATTACATGGTATTTTCTGAAGATTTCAGAATATTTTGTGCAATTTAAATGGATAAAAATCCCCTTAATTTCTCACCTCTATTTTTAGTAATTTTTCTTCTTCTTAAAACTGAAATGAATCAATCAAAAATGTGATAATTGAATTTTAAAGAGTCTTGCTTTCTTTGATTGTTTCCTTTCACTAAAGATATAGTCAGTTCTGAAATGTAGAAGTGAGACATTATATTTTATTATTTGATAGAAAAAGCTCTCTAAAGTAAAATTGGCACAACAGGGAAACTAAGGAAAAGACTGTATCAGAAAAAATGTAGTCTTACAAGTAACTCTTTCAGGTTTCTCAAAATTAGTGTTTTCAACTAAAAAGTTATTTCAAAAATCTGATGAGAAAAAAAAAATACTTTTCTAAGTATGAAAATGGACATAAAATTTAAAAAAAAATAGGAAAGACAAAATAGTAAAGCAATGCTTAATTTTAAACTCTCCAGAGACTGGTAACTGAAAAACATTTATTTAATTTTAATGAATGTTGATATTTAAATGAAATTATATCCCACTTGAGCTTTATTTAAAGGAAACTGGACATTAAGCCCTCTCCTTGAAATACAAGAATCTGCCTCATTTTAATGCTGCATTTTTGGGAAGCAGGTGGGCAAGTGTGGGAGTGGAGACATTCCTCAAAAACTGCATGAGTGTTCTAGCAGTAATTACTAAGTAACAAGGAAAATCCAAACAATTAGAAAGCATTTAAGTATACAGGGAGCTATCTGCATCATCATCTTCAGACTATTTCTGTCAATCAACCAGAGGCAAATCAAAGACCAAAATTAGGAGTTCCACCATTCAGTGAAGACCAGATGCTCCACTGGCCATGGGACACTGCAGTAACACAGAAAGTTTTCTGGTACAAGACATATCACAGGCTTTCCCAATAACTTCCTTTGCCAGTGCAATTCCAACTAGTGAATTTCATGGGATACTAATATTGCTATACTATATAGGAATTGAGAAAAGTGCACTTGACAGTTCCATTTTTTGCTTTGTTTAAAGGGATTGAACAAACATGCCTCTGGGGTGTAGAGAAATGGGATTGTAATTTAATTTTGTTTTAAAGCTTATTTTTTATGTAATTAAATAATTTGAGATCATTATGAATCAGAATCATATCAGCTGGAAAACACCTTCAACACCAGCAAGTTCCAACTATTAACCCAGCACTGCCAGGTCCATCAGTAAACATGTCCCTATCAGTTTTTTCCCTCTGTATCCTTTAAACTACACAAGATGATACTGATAATTTCTTACCAAATCTGGAAGGCTAGATGTTTTAGTGGTAAGTCCCAATAACTTTGAAGAAGGAAAACACAAGCCCAAACCCCAAGACTCAGATTATTGAGATCAACAATTCTAGACCAACTGATGAAGAACTTTAAAATCTTAGACAAATTCAAGAAATCAGGTCCAAAACTATTTCTGTGAACTTCCTGCATACGTTAGAATGACCTTCCCAGATGCAGGAAATATATTCCAGGCACAGGAAAAATAAAAAGACATTATAACAAATCCATATATGGGGTGTGCTTGCAGTCTTAAAAAAAAATCTTTAAAATGCTGTAGATTTATATCTTAAGTTTTGATTAATATAAGGTCAATGGGGTTATACAAAAGAAAGATGTGAAATTGCAATTAAAAAAAAAATAAAACATGTAATGCAACAATAAGGAGTTGAGACTGCTTATCACTAATGAAAACATGTTCTTTACCTCAAATGTCCACTCCTCTTCTTTTTCTCCATCCAGAAGCATTTTTGTATCCTTATACACCTTCCCTATTTCCAGTTGCAATGGAGACACATTAAATTCAATTCTTTGCAAGTTAAAGCCAATTCCAACTCCAATGGCCTTTAAGAAGCTTTCTTTTAGGGCCTAAAAGACATAAAAATGCATTTTATTTATACTGGCTACAAACTGTTTTTTAAACTGCTATTTACTGTTCTACAAACATTACTTCTGAGAACACATTGCAGACAAAATAAATTTAAGACTTATACTACTAAATGTCACGGTAGACTGATGAAATTACCAAGAAAAAAAGTTATCAGCATCATTTATACCCAGCCTAACCTGCTGCATTAAAATAAATATGCAATTCCAATTACAGATATGAATGCTTTACCTTGTTCTGGCTATGTGTTTAAAACTACTAATAAATCCCATTGGAAATATCAGCTGTACCATGGTTCTCAAAGTTGTTCCGATATTAAAATAATCACTGAAATATAAAGTCCAAGAATATCTTCACCTGAAATAGTATCAGGTAGAACCAGGTGGGCTTAGATTGGATAATGGGAGAAACTTCCTCATCAAATAGTTTTTCAAGCACTGGAACAAGCTGCCCAGGGCAGTGGTTGAGTCATCCTGAAATTATTTAAAATATGGATAGAGATGGTGTTTAGAGACATAGTTCAGTGGTAGATTTGGTAATTTTAGATGTCCTTTCCAACCTAAACCATTTCTATGGAACTACGGAAATATTACATTTTTACTGTAATGAAAATAAAAAAATATATCAGAAAAGAATGTGAGCATTCTTTGAATAGGACTTTGAATAAAAAAAGAAGTATTACCCAGTGCCGATAAAACATATCCAGCTGCATCCATTCATTACTCATTGACTTGATTACATCCCACTCTGTTTCAGTAAACTGTCGCTTCATTATGTGAAAGAAATTTGGAATTGAGCTACTACCTACAAATCAGACAGAGATATTTACAGAAATTGTAACAGAGTAGTAATAACAAGCAAATTAATTACCTCACATTATTGCTCTAGAAAAAACTCGTAAGTAAAAAAAAATTATGAACCAACTTTGCTCCACAATTTGAATTTATACAGCCTCAAAGCAGTGAGCTAATGGCTGTTCAGGATGCAGTACTTCCAGCATTCACTAAAAGGCAAAGTATTTAACCAAAGATAATTTTATATAAACATAAAAAAATTATATTCAACTACTAAAGTAGGATATATAGTATCTGGCATCTGACAGCTTGATCTAGTAACATTTTATAAAATAGCATTCTGTTTGTCAAAATTTATTAAGCTATTCTGCCTCCCACCTTTGGATGCTGGAATACAGAAGAAACACTTTTTTAAGCACTTATAGAAGCACAGTTTTCTGAATTTATCACATACATATTAAGCTATTTGGATTTGATTTATTCTGGAAGAAAAATGTGGGTAGAGAGGTGCCCATGATAACAGTAAGAAATATACCAATGGAAAAAAAATTCTCCAAAAAACCCAGCCTCAAACCACCAAACCTTCAAATCCTTAGATTAAATTTAAGCTTCCTCTAAAAATAATCACAGCTCTGTGACACTGCAGCAGCTCTTTGGGGGCTACACCACTTTTCCCCACTAGTCTAAATTTACAAGACACTACAATGTGTGGTTATATTGACCAATGGCATTTCTATAGTACCTTGAAATCTATGGACCTTGTTACAAGCTTGGCTACCCATAGCCTATGTTAATCAGTATCTCATGCAAGCATCCAAGTCCAGCTGGGCTTACAGGTGGCTAAAGAGACAATGGCAGAAAATAACCCCTTTTCTCTAGCAGGGATAATAAAAATTCTGGATAGAGACAATTCCATATATTGAGACAATTTCTTTGATAGGTTACTCAATGTTCTTACTAAAAATACAACATCAGTCATATTTAATCCAAAACATTTTCCCCCTCCCAATACCATGTTACTTTGCAGAATCCACTCAGTAAATAATTTCTTAAGATGCAGATTCTAACTGTAGTTGTGCCAGTAATTCTTTGAGTTGACTGGGCAAGGTACTTTCCTTTTCTATGCTCATGTTCCCCATCCTAAACCAGGGGTAAGGACACCAAGCCTTCTCTATAAAAGTGGTTCCTCTTCTATAGATATCTAAGCAGTAAATAAAAACAGGTACTGGCAGCAGTAATAACTGATCTAAACAAACCAATATTACACTAAAGCACACATTCAACCATACTGCAAAGTCTGACATACATGTCCCACAAGACGTGGCAGTGACACTTCAGAGCTGCCCTCAATTGCAGAATTTGGAGACAGTTGCAGCACTTAGCTAATGGAATGATCCAGAACAGTCTAAGGACAGGACTAACTCTCCTCTGGAGAAAATAACAATAGAAGAAAAAAGCAACCACAATGTTGCTTTGATGAATTACCAGAGCAAATTCCATATCCATCTACTTACACAATCCAGCATCCCTGAAACAAAAAAAAAAAAAAAAAAAAAAAAAAAAAGAAAAGAAAAACGTTGGACTTGGAGAAAGGTATTTTCTTTCACCTCTGTGTTGGTATGGCCTATTTTACAGTCAAATAACTACATTAATATCTGCTCTAGACAATAAATTTTTCCCCCTTCTCTCTTTTCTTTAATATTTAAAACAACAGTGGTAATGCTCCAGCCTTTTCGTGTAATTTTAACTACAACATTGCATAATGTCCTGGTGTACCCTTCCTCCTCTATTACTTGCAGAGAGCCCTCCTCCTCTCTATATCCCAGGACTACCAGAGAAAAACTGCCAAGACTACTCACACTACACCACATTCAACATGTAGAGGAACATAAAGGCTCCTGTGTTGTCAGTCCCACTATCCCAGCTTTATCACATGTGGTGAATACACTTGATGCTTAAACCATTTAGTACACCGAGTGCATATCAAACCCATATGCTACTGCTTTCTTCCTCATTGTTCACCCCTTTTCTTGTCCTAAGTTTCTTCAACTGTTCAGCTACCCTTCTCAACACTCATGTTCAAATTCACATAGTGCTTTCCCCTCTGCTCCCATCATTTGTCAAGTTCCTCCTTTGAAAATCTCAGGCATCACTTTGTCCTTAAGTGCACTCACTCCCCATTTCCTTAAGGCAGTACAGTTGCTCTGCTCTGAGGAACAGATCAGGACTTAGGATTCCTGTTCTCCACAAGTTACCTGCAGTACCACAGCCTGCCTAGTCCATTTCCCCATATTTGCTTCACTATCAGAGAAAGACAGATTTACAGAACCATGGGGAAAATGTAGGTTGAAAAAGACCTTTGGAGACCACCTGGTCTAACCTTCTGTTGAAAAACAGAGCCTTATGTTGGGTTACCCAGGACTCTGTCAAGCAGAGTATTTCACCCCTTCTCTGGGGAACCCAGTCCAGTATTCTGCTGATCTCATGGTGCAGACTTGTTCTACAGAGACAGAACTCTCCTTGAAGAAACCTGAGCCTGCTGCCTTTTAGATTAGATTCCCTTCTTTAGAACTTTCACCTCTTCAGGTTCAACAAACCCAGCTCCACCAGCATTTTTACATTAGTAAAGTTCCCCAACCCTCTAATCACCTTGGTGTCCCCTTGCTAAACCTCCTTCAATTTTCCCATGTCTCTCATGACATAGGACATATGAAGGAGACAAAACTAGAAGCAGCATAAAGTTTCTGTTTAAATGCTATGTATTTTGCTTTTAGTTTGATTAAAAAAAAAAACCAGCCTCAAGTTGTGGTCAACTACTTGCCACAATTTATAAAAAACTTCCTTTGAAAGAACTGGAACAAGTCCATATAGCAATTAATTATTTTATTTATTTATTTAAATTTGCATTTGCATTTCCCTTGTCAACTTGTTTCATAAATAAACTGACTTTTTAAGTAAGTACTTCTTATTTGCCTATGTCAGGAAATACAGTTCTTCAAAATAACAAACTAATTCCTTTTAATGCTGAGCATTAATTATATTGCTGACTCTGATTTTAAAATACATGTCTTGTTAATAAACTTCTAAGTACATCATATCCTTAAGAATATCAACTGAATAATCTTTCAAAAATTGCATTCTAGTCATTAAAAATAAAACCTAAACCCAAAGTTAAGCTTCTTCATTAAATTAAAAGCACACAACAGCCTGGAAATTTCAGGAAGAGTGATGAGAGGAAATAGTAAGTGATACTGGAAAAAAAGACTCCGATATTAACCCTGGAAAGTAAACACGCTATATACGGGTAAGTGTGTGTGTTCCTATGTGTGCATATGTGTCTGCATTTTGGAATTTTTGCATGAGCTATTTACATTAATAGATAATGCCATGTTTTCCACTGCAATGACAAGTAGGTTTTTGTTTAATTTTTTTAAACATTAGGCAAAAAAATGCTTTGCATTTTCCCTGTAGAACAGTAATGCTACAGACCAGATATAAAAGACTGATTTTAAAAAGAGGCAGGAGTGAAAAATAAGAAAACAGACTATATTCTCTAGTCCTGTTTGCAAATGCACTGTAGAAATAGTACATAAATATACCATAATTTCCCCCCATTTTTCTACCTGCTAAAGAATTCCAACAAGCTGCAGCTGTAGGAAGATAAAGGCAATCAGAATTATGATCCATGTAAACTCTGATACTATTAATAGTGAAAATTACTACCTATAAGGCTAGTATAGAAATTTTTTACATTTTTACAAACATCAGGTTAATCATAAGTCAGCTTTGGTAATACAGTGTATACTTCACAAAGGCAGGGTACAAACTTGTACCAAAAATTATTAGAACCATGCCAAGCATACTCTTCTCAAAACAATGAGAAGAGTAGATGACTGGCCAGCTTCACTTCAGGTTTTATGAGTTTACAGTCTTCAACTTGGCTTGGTCAGATACAAACAAACTAGCTTATAAAGTTACTCCTGCCAGCTCATTGATCAACTAACCTCCTGAAAAAACACAACAAACAAACAAAACCAAACCCAAACAAACACTCAAAACAAAAATATGAAACAAATATCAAAATGCAAACAGCCTCCTCATCAACTTGAACTGCATAAAAGAAACAGGTCAGTGATTAAGAACTAATACCTAATCAATACAATCAGCTCACTTTCAGATGGAAAACATGGCAGTGTGACACCTCATTCATAGCAAACTAAACAACTGAAGCATGAACAGCTCAATCTACCTAATAATGTGAAACACAAGATAGCTATGAAGCTTCTAAACGAACCAACTGTATTGGATCAATGTTTCAAGTCCTGGACTCTTGGGCTGACAATTCTTTTGGTGTAGGGCCATATTTGATCACATTTTACATCTCTAAAGGAAACCAAAGTAACCTGATACAGAGAAAACATTTCTTCTGCAACAGATTCCCAAGCCCTGTTTATTAATACCAACTAACCCTTGTACAGACGTTTAGAAACAACACAAGGCAAATAATTAGTGAGATAAATTACTAACTTACAAGAACCAGATAGAACATTAACAATGGAGGTTTTCTCAATCTACTAGCTCACACAGCTTTCGTGTGAATTGGAAATTGGATTTACATTCTCTGACCTCCACACTTCCTGTCAGTATCCCGCAATTTTCCCAATTACATGTATGTTAAACATCTATTCTCGTCATGTTAACGTTGATGTGTTTTATTTTGGCATACTCCAGAGAAGCACTAACTCTTAAATGACTGAAAACTTGACATTGCCTCCTACAAGTTACTCAATATTTTCCAGATTATAAAAATGTCAACCTGGAAAATTCAATCATAAAGAGACTGAAATAATTTGATAATGTTTGATATTTTCTCTGCAGATAGCATCATTAAGTCTCTGCAATATTAGAGAAACTGCTAAGGTTTCAATTGCATTAATGTAGTTGGGTCTAACAGCAGTGATGAAGATTTAAGCAAGCTGCCTTGATAGTCAATGTAAAACAAAAAGAAGA